ATAGAGGATTTCACCGGAACCGGGACCGGTTATGAAACGTTTTTGTCTTGATCGGGACCGGCCGTAACCGGTTATGGCCCGGCCCGGGACCGATATTTGGCCACCTCTGCCATGGAAGATCGATTCATAACTTTTAGGGCGTTTTATCGACGAATTTAATGGACAACATATACATGTAAATTTCTAGGGCTTTTTTCCGGTGGTTTCTTTATTTTGTGTAATGTTCATAACCTCAAATCAAGATTAAATTGTCTTTAGGCATTCTTCGGTGCTTTTGATGGGCATGGCGGAACAAAAGCAGCTAAAAGTATATGATTCACCTTACGAAACACATAAAAACAACACATCCAAACTTGAAAAATATGTGATTCACTTATATAATATCCTTATTAAATAATTTAATATGGTGAAACACTGTCATTTCTAACCTTATAAAAAATAATAATTTCTATTATGAGATCTAAAAGGCGTGTTTAAATTTGTAACTGAATTCATTTCATAAGCTGAAACTATGGTTTTTTGGAATTCATACACGCATATTTTAGAGGTTTTCTCCAGTACCTCCCTCTACACACACACACATAGGGTCAGGTTCAGAGCAAAACCTCCGAAAAAATGAAAACTGAGGAACGTTTTGTTAACCATTAATCTGGACATTATGCACATATGTTGAGTTCTGATGAAAAGTAGAGTTAAGCTACGAAGCATAAGAAGGTTTAAGAAAATAAGAGAATGATACATATTTAAGAAAATAAAAGAATGGTCAAAGTACGTACAAAATCTACGTGATTCAACGTTTAACGGCAAAAAAAGTGTGTGGGCGACCCTATGGCCGCATGACAAGGTCGCGTGAATCACATATGATTTTGTACGTGATGTTAGTATAAAATCATATGTGATTCAACCATTCTCTTATTTTCTTAAATATATTCTCGTATGAACTCGACTCTCTATATATATATGTATATGTGTGTGTGTGTGTGTGTGTGTATATATATATATAGGCGTAGTATCATGTGAAAAAAAAAGTTAGGATTAGAAGCACGAGAAGAGATCTGGATCCTTGATCATCTTTAATCTCAAACTCACTTATGAATAACATTTGATACAAGGATTGATTCGGTGCATCTCATCCTAATGTGTATCCAATGATGAAGATCTTTTCTTACATTTCTCACTTTAACTTTACTTTTTATCGGAACCCAACCCTATATATATATATATATATATATTATCAATTTACCATCTAATTTTTATTAAACTTAACTAGTTTACCTTATTAATCAATTAATGGCTAGTTATAAGAACTTCTCTTATGCAATTTTTCTCTCACATATTTAAAAATTAAACACTTACTTTTATATTTTTTAAGTATCGATCTGATTAAATTAAAATCTTTTTTAGAAAAATCATTCATTAAAAATGTAAAAATAAAAGGTATGATGTTGATGTATGTGAGTATATGAAATTGGTAGGAATGATTTATTGAAAAATAGTGGGGATCAATCAGAATAAACTCTTTAAGATAACAAATTTACCCCTAATAACTTGTTTATATCTTTTATATATTTTGATTAATTACATGTTATAGTAAAACAAAATTTCATAATAAAAAGTCTGTCATTAGAAAGTTTTCATCACGACGATTAAAATGGCACCAAAATAAAAAAAATTATGTAGTTTCCAGTTTTATCTTATACCTTTGTCTATATTATTTTATTATTATTATTGTTAATATTTAATAAATCACATAAACTAACCAAAATATAAAAATCATATAAAAACAATATTTCGAGAACAGTAAAATGAAAGTTTAAAGAGTATAAAAATACAAGAAATAAAATTTAAATAATGAATAAAATATAAAGACGGAGACGTATTTGATGTCTTAGAAGAGAATTCAGTCATATTTTGAGGTTATATTGATAAAACATAAGTATGTTACACCTTGTTCCATGGGGTGAATGTGAAACATGCATGTTCCAGTTTGTTAGTTTCTTTCTGTTACACATAATAGTTCTGTCAAACATGAAACAGTGATTCATGTTCTACCATGTTATATTCTGTATATGAAACTCACCTTGGGTTAAATCAGTAAAAATAGAAAACAATGAATCTGAAATCTCTATGGGTGAAATTTATAGGATGGTTTTAAATGACATGTAAAAGGAACCCGTTTAAAACGAGCCAATATAAATCCAAAATGTCAAATCATAAATACTCTTTTGGATTTAAGCAAAATATTGCAAAATTTTCACGACAAACATATAAAAATCCGTACTCTTGTTTAATTATTAAGAACATCTCTAACAATTATGATAAATGTTTAGGGTAAGGCTTGGGCATGACATAGTCATGAACCCAAATTCAAACACTGGGAAGGGAGTGTTGGCGACATTTAAGTGTGGCCATGTTTAGCCTCCAAATTTACCGGGGATTAGTCGGGCTTTGGCCCGGACACCCTTTCCAAAAAAAAACTATGATAAAACACAAAAATGTAAGATTTTTAGCATTTTTGTTGCTCCAACAGCTATGTTAAAATAGAGAAAAGGGAAGAGAGAGAAAACTTTATAGAAGAGAGAGAAAAACAATATTTTAATCATATCCAACCAATTAAACTTACAGAAATTAAAAGTGTAAGAGAGAAAAATAAAATTTTACTAATACAGTTAATGCTAGAATTATTAAAATAGAATAACTGTTGAAGTTGAATGCAATTTTTTTTTATTTTTTTTGACTTTTCATACTGTATTACGGAAAACTTTTAGCATATATGTTGAAAAAAGATTCTACCAACAAATATTTTTGTTATATGTCAAATCAAGCCTCAAATATTAGGTTTTAAAAGATGATGACTTAAACCAAAACATGTTATAAAAAAATCTCTACTTAAACCCTTTATGGTTAAAAGAAGAACAATCTAAAATTATCCCTCAATTCTTCACTTGAAATACATAAAAATGAAACTTATTTGAATAAAATACTTGTTTTATATTTAAAAGTTTAATTATATTCATGAAAATTTATATTAAAAAGATTTTTTTTTTGTAATTATGAGAGGTTGGTTAGTAATTTTTATTGTGTAGGGTGTTAATTATGGCTATTATCATCTTCATTGTATTAATTTTTGAGAAATACGTAAAACAATTTCATCAAAATATAGGAACAAACATATGTGAAACAAGTTCATCAAGAAAAGTATTATATGAAACAATTTCATCAGATTAAACAATTTCATGAAACAATTTTATTTAATTAAACAATGAAATCGACAGATGAGAGTGGTTTGTACGGTTTATAGAAATATAGATGATTTGCATTTGATCGCTCCCTATATGTGTGTGTGTGTGTGTGTGTGTGTGTGTTGGGGGGGTAATCAAATGAGAACTAATTAGTTTGTGATAATCGTGAGGTCCAATCTCAATCACAAATCAATAGATTAATTAGGAAATTTATAATTTTGGTAATTTTGAATTAAAATTTTAATGCAAAAACATTTTAGGTATTTTCTCTCCACTCTCCTCTCTTCTCTTCTATCTCCATCCTTCGGTGATACCACAGTGGTATCACAATGCATCTTATATGTGCTTGGGTATCACACTGAGATAATCTGGGTGGTCGATCGGAGATGTAACATAGTGGTATCATAATGCATCTTATATGTGATTGGTATCACACTGTGTCTTTTGTTTAATAGAGTCAATATTTTTAGGTATCACAGGAGGATGGTGGCCAAAGGCCGGAGGATGGGAGACGAAGAGAGAAGAGAGGAGATAAAATACTTAAAATATCTTTGCATTAAAATTTTAATTCAAAATTACTAAAATTATAAATTTCCTAATTTATCTATTGATTTGTGATTGAGATTGGATCTCACAGTTACCACAAACTAGTCAGTTCTTCCTTGAACGAGCCCTATGTATATGAATATATATCATGTAATAATTTGTAATCTTAAATCATATGAAATGTTATATTACTTAGGGGTCGTTTACCAAACACTTACCAAGTAAGTACCCGGTAAAATTTAACACTATTATTTACTTATCGGGTAAGATTTTAGTCCACCAAAACGACATCGTATGCAATAATTTATTCTGTAAGCCCTTACCGTGGTAAGAGTCGTCGCCCTTACTTATCAGGTAAGATTCATGGTCCTTGTCTCGCTCTTACCGGATAAGATTCTTACTCCTTACCATATTCATTAGGTGAGGTAACATGACTTGGTAAACGCTTACTCGGATAAGTATTTGGTAAACGACCCCTTACTTGTTCCTAAAATAAGTGTCTACTTTAAAATATAAAGGAAAATTGACAAAGATAGCCATTGTGGACCCTCACTTCACTTTATAACCATCTTTTAAACTCACTTACAAATTTAGTTGGAAATTACGCAAATGACATTATGCACTTTTTGAAATAAAATAATGACGAAAAATGGGCATTATGCAAGTTGTGTAAGTACTATTTACTTAATGTCTATATGGATCCTCCCTATTGACTTACAAAACTTGTCTAATACCCATTTTTCCTAGTTTTTTAATCCAAAAAACAGATGATGCAAATTGTATAATGTCATTTACGCTAATTTTTAGCTAAATTCAGTAATAAGTTCAAAAAGGTGATTATAAAATAAATAGGAAGTTTTGATTGACTATTTTAGTCGACATCAAAAATAAGTGCACCTCTAATTCTACTCTTAATTATAAAATACCGAATTTCGTTACTTTTTTTTATTATTAAAAATAAAATTATTAAACTTATTTAACTAAAAGAAATATAATAATATCATATTTATATAATAAAATGAAAATTAAAAATACAAAAAAAAAAAAAAAAAACTTTTGTAATATAAAGATTGAATGCCTAAAAACCCTTCTCTCTTTCCTCTTTATCTTATATTCCATTTTATGCTCGTTTTCTTCAATGTCTCTGCCGAGAGCTCCATACTGATTGTAAAGACGCTCCCTTTTTACTTCTTCAGATGGCTTTGTGAGTTCATTCGTCCTTCTCACCTTCTTTTTCCTTCATACCCTTTTGATTCCATCAACAAATTCTTCGTTTTTCTGATGAAATATGAAACCCTTTTGTTGATTTTATTGAAATTTGATCTGGGGTTTTGTTACTGATCGTTGGATCGTCACGAATTTTGATGGGTTGTTCGATGCATTTACCTTGATACCCTTTTGATTCTGTAAACAAATTCTTCAATCTTTTTGATGTAATATGAAACCCTTTTGTTACTTTTAGTGAAATTTGACCTGGGGTTTTGTTTCTGATTGTTGGATCTTCATTGTTTGATTCATTTACCTTCTTGTTTCATGATGCCCATTTGATTCCGTGAACAAATTCTTCCATCTTTTTGATGAAATATGAAACCCTTTTGTTAATTGTAGTGAAATTTGATCTGAGGTTTTGTTTCTGATTGTTGGATCTTCATGAATTTGATGAGTTGTTTGATTCATTTACCTTCTTGTTTGATGATGCCCATTTGATTCTGTGAACAAATTCTTCCATCTTTTTGATGAAATATGAAACCCTTTTGTTGATTTTAGTGCAATTTGATGGGTTGTTTGATTAATTTACCTTTCTGAGGCTCATTCTTTTGGATTGGATCTGTTAAAATGGGAAGAACTTCATCCATTTCTAATGAAAACAAGAAAGTTTTGAATTGATTTAAGAAAAATTTACAAAAGATTCAAATTAGGATTCAATTTGATGAACTTTTGTGTTCTTTTCTTTGGATTAGGTTTGTGAAGGTTTGTTTTTCTTCCCCTTTTAGAGTTATTCAAATTCTCGTTGTGTTGTTTTTCGTTGCAAATTAATCATGTTTCTTTCGAATCTTCAAAAGCAAAATACATGATTAGTTCATAAGCTATCTTTTCAGCTAACAATTAGCTTTTCAGTTACCAGCTAGCTTTTCAGCTAACAATTAGCTTGTCAGACAACAACTAGTTTGACAAACAAAGCGTAAGCTTAAGAATGAACCACTTTCGATAAAAATGGCAATCACAACTATTGCTATTGCATTTATATTTGTTGTTAATTTGTCCGTAATTGTTCAATCCTATAAATTGTGATGCTTTCTTGGTAGGTTTTAAGAACAATGGTTAGTTTGCTACGGGAAGATGATCACTCTTACCTTTTTCCATTTATGGCTATGATTAGCAAACTAACTGATAAGTTGGCCATTGGCCAAAATGTTAGCTGTTTCCGCTGCTAAATTAGTCACCTTTGATAAAAAATAAAAAAAAACTAGCTGATAAGTTAGATGACAATGTAAAATTATCCAAAAAAACGAAGGGTTTTTGTCATTTATATAAAATATAAAGGACACAATTGGAAAAAAGTGAAGTAATTTTTTTAACAACATGGCCTATATCTACTTGCATCTAGATGTTCATTTAACTTTAACTTTATATGTATATGTGTGCTTAGACTGTTGTTTTTGTAACCAGATAAATGTCTGAATATGTAAGCAAATTGCAGTTAACGATATTAACAAACTATTACCAACAAATGAAACAAATTAGCTCGTGTTTTTATGTTTCTTTTCACAGTTAGTTTGGGATAAAAGACTTATTGTTGATGATCGTTTTCAGGATGGAATCCAATGACCATTGAATCTTGATCGTGTTCGTAAGTGAGGATTAATTGGAAATGGCGATGTTTGAAGAAATGGGGTTCAGTGGAAGCTTTGATTTCTTATCGGGCCCTCCGTTCGAGACCGCCACCGCCACCGAAGCGGCGGCAATGGAGGAGGATTACAGTGAAGACGATGAAATGGAGATCAAGGAGCTTGAGAAGAGAATGTGGCGTGACAAAATGCTCTTACGACGGCTTAAAGACGAAAACAAATGTAAACAAGGAGTTGATCCCGCAAAAAAACGACAATCAGAAGAACACGCGAGGCGGAAAAAGATGTCTCGAGCCCAAGACGGGATCTTGAAATACATGCTTAAAATGATGGAAGTTTGTAATGCTCAAGGGTTCGTTTACGGGATTATTCCCGAAAACGGAAAGCCCGTTGGTGGAGCTTCAGATAATCTCCGGGGGTGGTGGAAAGAAAAGGTGCGTTTTGACCGCAACGGTCCCGCAGCGATTGCGAAACACCAGGCAACCCACGTGGGTTCCGGGGAAAATGAGGGTCTTGGACCGGTGTCGACTCCGCACACCTTGCACGAGCTTCAAGACACCACACTTGGCTCGCTTTTGTCGGCTTTGATGCAGCATTGTGATCCTCCACAGCGGCGGTTTCCGCTAGAGAAGGGTGTTGCACCGCCGTGGTGGCCTACCGGAGACGAGGAATGGTGGTTGCAATCGACGGAAAAGGGCCCGCCACCGTATAAGAAGCCTCATGATCTGAAAAAGGTGTGGAAAGTCAACGTGTTGACCGCAGTGATTAAGCATATGTCGCCGGAGATTGAAAAGATACGGAAGCTTGTTAGGCAGTCGAAATGCTTACAAGATAAGATGACGGCTAAGGAAAGTGCAACGTGGCTTGCGATTATTAACCAAGAGGAGGCACTCTGCCGGAATATATATCCCACCACCTTCCCGATGGCAAGCGGAGGCGGTGGTGCTGGTGGTGGTGATGGCGGGTCTTATCTGATCAATGATGCAAGTGATTATGATGTGGAAGGCGTGGTGGATGAGGTGAGTCTTGAATTGGAGGACTGCAAGCCAGCACCGCCTACGTTCGTTCTGCCGCTCGCCGGAGTTAAAGGGGAGGCTGTTGATTCGTTTAACTCCGATAATTTTAAAAGAAAGCAACCATCCAACGACATCGATGACCACCACCAGGCGCCAGATGTGTATGCCTGTGAGTATCCTCAGTGCCCATATAACGACGTTCGTGTGGGGTTTCACGACAGATCCGCAAGAAACAACCACCAGCTGAATTGTGCTTACCGCCCAATCGTTGGTGGAACCCTAAACTTCCAAACGAACAATCTTGAGAAACTATCCGTTTTCAACATCCCTTCATTTGGTCAGACTAAGCTCACCGCAGCTTCTCTGCCTGTGAACCACGTTGCACCACCACCATCATACGGTGGTGGTGGTGGCGGTGGCGGCGGCGGCGGTGGTGGCGGCGGTGGCGGTGGCGGTGGCAGCATTTCAGAACTTGGACTTCCGGAAGATGGTCAGAGAATGATTTCTGATCTCATGTCATTCTACGATACGAATCTTCAACAAACCAACAAAAGCTTCAACCCCGGGAATCTTGATCAGATCCAGATTGACAATGGTTTCTTTGGACCAAATGTCGAAACTTCAACAGGGTTCGAGTTTGGCAACTGCAGAACACCATACGAATCTGCTTTTGATTCTGGCTGCAACCCGAATGTGAATGACAATAATGCCCTCGACTTCAGATTCGGTGCACAATCGACATTCTCTCAAGATGTGTCGATGTGGTACCTTTGAAGACAAACCTAGGATGTCGAGAAGTGTGTTGTTAGTAGGTGAAATTGTCGTTAATTTGCTTTCGGTTTGCATTCGAACGATGTTATATGTTGTGTTCTTGTGAATGTTCATACTTGTTTGTGCCTTTTTCATGTGTTTTGCTCGTTTTGTCAATGAGTTGTTGTCGGGGGTGTGCACGGTTCAACTGAAATCGAGTAAACCGTCAAACCGGAGCAAATTGGTATATATAGAGAGAGGTAGATTCATATGAGAATGACAACTAAATAAGTGAACACGAATCCTAAAATCATATCATCTTTAAGAGGAATGTTATAGACTAAAATTTGATGCCGTTTTAGTGTATATATGTGCATTAACAAATAGTTTGTTTAATTATAAGTCATGATGTTAATTGAAATCTCATTAAAGGTGACAAAGTCATGACTTCAATTTTGTGACAAATTTAATTGAAATCCCATTTGAAGTTAAATAAAGCAAACACGTTCTATGATATTTCAATTGAAAATTAAAGTGATGCATAAGTTGTGGAAGAAGCAGTGTAAGTTTAAGACGATGAATGAAGAATCACATTACCAAGCTAGGATAATGGATATCCTTCAATAAAAAATAAACATAATATCAAGTGGTGTCGATGACCCACATATCAGTTATTAAACTGATAAAAACGAATACTCATTTGAACTTAACCAAACCCGAGATTCAAGAAAGGTGTGTATTAGTCCCACTATATCAATCTTCAAGTAACCTTCATGAAAGCTTCAAATCTTCAATGACAGATCTGTATATTTATCAAGAAAATCATGAGAGTAGAGAGAGAAAGTCAAGATCTAAAACTTGGTCAAACTTTATTATTACGTAACTGATCTTTTACAATTGAGCTCTTCTAAAATTACAAGGGACTCACCCTTTATATAAGGTCAAACCTCTAGACAAAGATCAAAGTCAAACAGTCTAAAAAAAGTCAAACACGATGACTTTTACACAATTACAGACAAAACAAACTTTCAAGACGAATACAATTTTACACTGTTTTTCAGTCATAATATTCTCCCCCTTTGTATTCAGACTTGAAAGAATTTGCGCGCTTGGAGTCTCGTTTGAACTTTGATGCATTAAGCACACTATATCTTCTTCAAAAACAAACTTCAACTTGAAACTTCAGACAATTATTTGTTGAAAAAGATCTTCTAACATTCTCCCCCTCGAATGTAGAACCGCGATGATCTTCTCTTTTGACAATGTTGAACAGAAACAACAAAAATCTTCAGAAACAATATACAAGATGTGATCTTCAAAGAATATTCAGACAACAAGTCACAATCTTTCTCTTTGATAAGAAAACTCTGTTGGTAAACTTTTGAAACGATGATCTTCTCATTCAAAAACTCTCAGTCGTTTTAGTACAAGAATAATCTGTCTGTAATTATCTCCAGTCGCACTCCTTTTGAGTCTTTTGTCATCTTTGAAGTTACTCCCCCTTGATCTTTACATCAAATTCCCTTTATAATGTTCGGAATTGGACATTTCATTCATTATTACATACTCCCCCTTATAATGAAATGAGAATCATTCCATCATACACAAGAATGAATGAAATTTTTCGCGAAAGCCGTCAATTCATAAAATAGTAAGTAGATCTTTTCAAATCCACTTGTTTAATCATTTCAGATTAAGGGAATGGGAAGATAACAACCAATTTCAACGTATGAAATTGTTTTCAATCTTATAAAATGATTGGCCTGTGAGTATAACACATATACTCAGTACAACGGATGTACTGTATATATATGAGACTTTTTTAGGCTCATCTCACCAGGTCTTCCATTCAATTATCGATAGCTTAAAAATAACATATCTATGAATGTTTTGGCAAAATAACATATAATTTGCAAAATTTGTGTAGTGTAGAAAGATAAAGCAACTAATGCTTCTGTTTAGGCTCAAAATGATAAACCGTGTGGACTACACAAATTTATCAGACTCAATTCGTGATAAAAAAAGACTTGAAGGGGAGACATATATCCTTCTGTTTTAATATCAACTTTCTCCGAATGAGAAATTGATAAATGATGAGCTGCGTGCCCCAAGTGTAATTGAAACACTTATCTGTTGAGAGATAAATGAGTAGTTGGTGGGGTTGGGACAAGAATTGTCTTGTGCTTTGCCTTTTTCAATATTAGTCTCGAAAGAATTGAGAAGTAATAGATTGTATGGTATGTCCAGATTTAAAAGTTTGGAATAGGATTCTTATGTTCTTTTAATCCTGACACAACTCTCGTCAATTCTTTTAGCTCACAACAACTATCCCTCTCATTTTCATTTTAAGCTCTGCACACAAACCCTTTTTGAGTTAAAGCTCACTCAGATATGGTTGTCCTCTTAAGTAGGTTTGTCGGTTCTGACATTTCATTGAGGTATTTCTGATAAGCACTCAGTCCCTCCTAAATACAATATGCTCAAATGATCACAATAGTTGATCAAAAATAGTCTTACAAATAAAGCACAATGAACATATAAAAAATTGATCAAGATATTTGGCTTTCAAGCACAATCAATAAAGGAAAGATGCGACAACGATAAGATTATTCGATATGCGAGAGAAATGAATGAAGATCTGTAAGAACGAGTTTACAGATTCTGATATTCAAAAAATTCTTGAACGTATATCAATCAAAGTAAAAAAAATATCAGAAAACAAACTTTGAATAAAAACGAGCGTATTATCACCGAAAAATATATTATTTTAAGAGACGTGATAATAACAGTTTGAAGAATAGCTGAAACAGATATTGGAATTATGTATGATGAGAAATTACACAAGTAAAATCTCAGGAAATACCTGTTCAGAAAATGTACTCGTTTCCTTAAAAAAAATTATTTTCCGAAAAACATTTATTGTACTTTCTAGAGACTCCCGCTAGAAAGTAGATTTAAGAAATATTTCGATTCGGCTCAAAAATTAAAAAAAAAATTCGAAACATGTTTAGCACAGGTCCTAAACTATGTGTTTAGAAACCACAATCGGTTAAGAACGGGTCCTGAACTGTGTTGTTCAGAAGCCTCTGTTGGTCAGTGTACAACTCCCCCTGCATTAGTGTATCAAAGAAATGATATTCTGATCAGTACAAACTTGACACACCTGCAAAACTAGATTAAATAGATTTTGGTACCCAAAGAAATTTGGGTCCTATTTTGTTAAAATCAGGCTGGGTATGTTGTAACTTCCAAACCATCTATTTCTATTTGATGTATTCTTTTTAGCACTTTGAACATGATGATCAGGAATAAAATATGACCCATACCAGTTATTGTGATCATACATGTTCTTACCTTTCCAACTGTTCTGATAGTTGTTATCTCCATGCCACCTATTGAACATTTTCTTATTGATAAACTCATTGGTTTTGCATGTTGAGCACATAACTCTTCTCTTGCTAAGATTGATCAGATCATTAGTGGATCTTACAATACAAGGAAGAACAGAGTTAGTAACAACAGATGTATGAGATGAAACAAAATCAGCTTTATTAACCCAAATGCTTTTAGTCTTAGAAGATTTATTAGGTGATCTGATAACATACCCTTGATAATACTGATTAGAAGAACGAGAATAATTCTTAGAAACAGTAGATTTAGGGCTGCTTGAATAACTGTTCGATTTGGAACAGTCATAGAAGCTGGTTTTACACTGTGATGGAGAACCAATTGAGCTTTGTGCACAAGAAAAGTCTTTGACTTTCTGTAAAAGCTGGTTTCTTTCAGCAGTAACTAAATCAAACTTAATTTTAAGTTTTGTTCTCATCTTCAGCTCAATCTCAAGGTCTGTCTTCAAATCAGACAATTTGCTTGTAGTATCCAGGAGTTTACCTTTTAACTCCTTTTGAAGCATTTCAAACTTTCTCTTCTGATTTATTAACTCTCTTTTTTCTTCATCTGAGCTGCTCTTATTATTCTCAGAAGCGATGTCAAGCCACTTTTTCTTATTAGCAAGCTCCTTAGCAATAACTGTATATTTCTTTGAATTATTTCTTTTCTCAAGAGCAAATTGCTTCTTTTCTTCATCTAAAGCTTTTTGCTTTAGAGCAATGCTTTCAGATAACTTCTTTATTTTGGCTCTGACATTCTTATGTAATGTCTTTCTTCTCTTTATCATGCGTGGCCCGTTCCAAGATGATTAGCTGCTCAAAATCAGATATTTGCTTTAACAGCAATTTGGCGTTCAGCTCGAGAGAGTTTATCTTATCTTCAAAAGATATGCGTTCAGCTCCAAACCTTTTCTCTAATTCACACATTCTCTTCTTCTCCTTTTCAAATTCTATTCTTTCAGAACTTAAACTTTTCTCAGCTTTCAGAGCTTTTTCCTTATGTAACTTCAGTAATTTCTGTAACTCACTCAACTCACTCTCAGACTTATGAAATTTATCAGATAAGTCCTTTGTCTCAGTATATTTTCTTCCAGGAGAATTTCCCTCAGCTGTAGATTCACTTTGGAGTTTGTTAAACAAATCTTTATTAGTTGTACTCCAAATTTTCAATTCATTCTCACACTCTTTTCTTACATCATTCAAAGATTTTTCAAGTTTATTACTCTTATTCATGAAATCATTCTCAACTCTTTCCAATTCTACTTTATGCTCTTTTTGTAAATTTGCAATGAATTCCACATTAGCATGATTCTCGTAAAACATGTTAAGATATTTCTCCTTATAATCCACTATGCTCTTCTCCAGCTTTGAAATCTTTGCTTTCAATTCTTTATTCTCCTTCTCTAGAATAGCTGTCATTAAGAAAAATTAAGACTAATCAATTAAAGAATCTATGCAGTTTAAAAATTGACCAAAGAAATACAGTCTAAAAGAATTACACAATCACAAAAAAATTCAATTAACAAGATGATCTTTGAACAAACAAATTTGATACAAAAAACTAAATCAAGACAAGGTAACCAAGTAAAACAAACTTAAGAACAATAAGTTTGGACTCAAAACAGAATAGTCACTTAAATCTGCAATCTGTAAAACTATTTTAAATCGCTCAAAGCAAGACTCCTAAACCGCTCAATGAACAGCCCTCTAAATAGCTCACTACAGGTTCTCTAATTCGCTCAAGACAGCTCACTCTAAATTGCTCAATGCATGGAAGAATATCGCACACTACATGGAGCTTAATCCGCTCAAGACTGTTTGTAAACAGCTTGCTGCTGGTTCCTTATCCGTTCACTTAACAGCCTAAACCACTTACCGCATGATCAAGAAAATCGCCTGCTGCATGAACTGTAATCTGCTCAACACTTTTTTTAAACAGATTACTGCAAGAACTGTAATACACTCACTGTTTTAAATCACTTAATGAAGAACTGAGCTTAAATCGATCAAGCTACTGCCTCTTAATCGCTCAATATGCTCTCATATCCGCTCATCAAACAACTTCTAAATCACTCACCAAGTGAAGTAAATCGCTCACCAAGCAGTCTAAACCGCTCATAGCAAACCTATAAATCGCTCACTATGTAGTGATAAATCGCTCAAAACAAAACTGCTAATCTGCTAACTAAAAGGTGTAACTCGCTCACTTGATGAACAAACCCACTTACTACTATGGACTATAATCTGCTCAATCACTAGTTCTTAATCCGGTCAACACATGCTACCTAAATCGCTCACAAGTCCGCTCACAATACTATCTATATCGCTCACAAGTCTGCTCACTACTATGGACTTAAATCACCTACCGCATGTTTTCTAATCCAGTCAAGCTAAGTAAAAATCGTTCAAGCTTGTTCTTAATCCGGTCAAGCTTGCTTCTTATCCGCTCAAGCTGCTGTTTAAATCGGACAAAGCTGACCTTTAATCGCTCACCTCATCAAATCACTAAGTAAACCGCTCAAGATATAAGGCTGCTCAACAGACTAAGTACTTAAACCGCTTAAACACTCATGAACGACAAACCGATTACCAAACAACCTCTAATCCAGTGATTACTAAGATGTAAATCGCACAAAGTCTGCTTATCACATACTACTAAATCGCTTACTGCATAAAACTCCTAATCCGCTCACTTCATGAAGATAATCCGCTCAATGTTTAATCTGCTCAATAAGAGATTTAAACCGCTCAAAACTAACAGCCTCTTAATCCTGTCAGCTCAAGACATTCTGTAAATCGCTCACAGCTGTCAAGAGAAAGAGCTAAATCGATCAATATGCAGACTGTTAATCGCTTACCGTGTAATCTTAATCCGCTCAAAACTTGATGAATAAATCGGACAATGAAGTGAAGAAGTATCAAGCAGTTTAAACAAACAAGATTCAAACACAAAAGTTAATCAAACTAAGATCAAACCAACTAACAAACAAAAAATTTACAAAAACTCAGAAAAAATTGGATCAAAATCTAACTTTTTGATGAATTTTCTTAAGAACATGAAGAACTTCAAAACTAACAAATCTCTTCAAATCTTTAAAAACAGGGTTGAGGACATGTATGTGTACATCTCACCCTCAAACTCCATCTTCAGATGGGTTATAGATATACTGGTCTAGTTTGGTTTAATCAGTTACTGAGAGATTAATTGATACTTTTTCTTTCCTTTTTTGTATGTATGGGATTCCTAGAGATACAAATGAGCAATACACACAAATGTTGATAGAGGTGGCAAACAAATTGCTTGGATTTCTATCAAAAGGAATTGGGCTAGAAGAAAATGCAATGAAGGAAGGGTTGGGTGGTGAAGACTTAATCTACTTGATGAAAATAAACTACTACCCACCATGCCCATGCCCTGATCTTGCTCTTGGGGTGGTACCCCATACTGATATCTCTTCCATCACCATTCTTGTCCCAAATGAAGTCCAAGGTCTACAAGTATTCAAAGATGATCATTGGTATGATGTTGCATACATCCCTAAYGCTCTCATTATTCACATTGGTGATCAAATTGAGGTAAMTACTAACTCAYTCACCTACCTTATATTCATCTGTAAATACCYTTATAAGATCTTGAGTATTAGACTTGTATATAGTACGTTGGRRTCTCATATTAGCTAGACAYATACCATCAARCCTACATATATGTWAGAACTGTCACGTCCYKATTTTTTCTTTCGRGKGCTGTGACGTCATTCTTAATAAYTTATGMCATGAACAAAAAACGAACTTAAAATTTTCAAACATACATAATGTGTTTAACATAATTCATTACATAATTRCGGMRGYGTAAAATAYCTTAACGTAATCAATGCTAATTAAAATATCTAATCAAMCGTGATTCAAAACATAGTCWYRTCTTTCTTCATTCAACTCGTCTAATGACAATTGRCACMTRAGATATATACATGTATARTATAAGCTAAAAGCCTAGTGAATACAATATGRTTTCATGATCACATGCACATATAAATARTAKTTTAATRTATTTWAGTWATTATCTTGCAAGWAAGGCATCGRGTARTCACTTTTGTTTAYGTATGTGGCGTATTCTATGGAYGARGACTCCAARACCTCGGAATTGCAAGCCCTCTTTTCATGTCCARCYCRYCCTGTACGGTGGATAAATCTTGTCGAATCATACTAGTTGCATACCATTTATTTGCAATACTCACTCATTAATGCTAATCTCATCGTGACATGCAATATACATCTCATGCAAGTGACACCATAAATCACATATGCATCATCTTCATTTTTCACATTATACACATACTTGAATACAAAACTTAATAATATCAACTATCAAGTCATCATAATATTTCTCATCATCATCATCTTCATCATCATCATCGTCATCGTCATCATCGTCATCGTCATCGTCATCGTCATCGTCATCGTCATCGTCATCGTCATCGTCATCGTCATCGTCATCGTCATCGTCATCGTCATCGTCATCATCATCATCATCATCATCATCATCTTTTCTATCATGCATATACTTGAATATCATGTACATCAACGCAATGAAGTTATCATCATATACATATAAACACATCATACAAATATCATGAATAAAATATTTTGTAACAATCATGTATATATCCTATAAAAATCATATAATGTACTCACTTTAAATTGTTAGCGTTTAGGTTGTTTTTCTCAAAAACCACAACCTACATGATAATTCATACCATTCCTAAGCACCTTAGATAATTGTAACTAAATTGATCATTAAAAACCAACAATCTTAGCACGACTATCTTAACATTTTTTATAGATCAAGCCCCGATGCCATCATATCTCATATTTCACTCAAACATTTTCTTGAAATATTATTGATAACGTGACGTCGTTATAATATTAATTGTCGCWCGTACATTYTATAAAAATRTGCAATACACTTCACATTTTCTTRAACAATAAATATTTTACCAAAATAGCTAAACCAAATAGTTTGCAACGTAAATAATGTTTTATGGTCAGCAGGCGAGCCTCCGGTGGTGTGGTACGTAGTGGGTTTAGTACGCCACATACGATTTTGAAGCCCAATCGCAAGGTGACTCGCTCAGGTGCATGAGCAGCTTTGCTGGATTTATACAMTCCATATTTGGTTGTTTTGTTTGACTTAATTTTTTCGTATTTACAAAATACCGTCTCAAATTCATCAGATTCATCTCTCTTTTGTCCCTCCTGACCGAACCTGCCAAAAAACAAAAATAGTGGACCAAGGGGAGATTCCCCTTTTGATTGGATTTATACGGTGGGAAATAAAGTAAGGAGTTAGAGCTCGGAAGTGAGAACTAGCTTATAGGAGCGAAGCCACTCGACCAGAGGGAGARGAATGAGTACTCTCTCTCCTCATTCAAAGAAGATAGAGGAATTCCCCAKTACTGCTATAACTATAGGGGGAGAAGTGATAACTAGCTAGACYATATTTACTTTTCTATAGGCTCGACCTTAAAAGAGAGAGTAACCCAACTGAGCAAAATGGATAAAATTCGYGGGAAAGGGGAGATAAAAAAGGGAACGTCAAGGGAAYGTCTCTTTTAAAATTTGCAAGTGAATAATGGTGACAACATGTTACACACATATAAATAATGACTATTCCATAACTKTAAAGTTCAACATAATTAATACTTGAAATAATGTTTAKAATACCAAATTTCCAAGTCTAGGGACATTTCGGTAATCTTTAAGAAGCCGACCAAKGGTATAGATTTAAYCAATTTCTCTAATTTAGAATATTCTTGGTACATTTCATAAGTCCAATATTAAAACAATGTTTAAAAGTCCAATCCCAAAGCATAGGGGCATTTTGGTAATTTTATTAAGCAAATACTCAAAGTATTGTTAACATACCGACCAAATTGTGAGGTAATTTTGGTAATTTCATAATGATAATAATCAAAACAAGGTCTAGATACCAATTCTCAAGATATTGGGTCATTTCAGTAATTTTATAAAGCAAATACATAAAGTAATTGCTAAAATACCGATTTCCAAATTATAGGGTCATTTTGGTAATTTCATAAATATAATCATATAACATGAAGCTTATATACCATTGCTTAATACGCAAAGTCATTTCGGTAATTTTATAAATCAAATACGTAAAGTATTGCTAAAATACCGCTTTTCAAATATAAGGTTATTTTGGTAATTTTATAAAAATAATAATATAAAAATAAAGCTTATAGACCAATCCCCAAGACATAGGGTTATTTTGGTAATTTTATAAAGCAAATACGTAAAGTATTGTTAAAATACCGATTTCCAAATATAGGGTTGTTTTGATAATTTTATAAAAATAATAATATAAAAATAAAGTTTATAGACCAATCCCCAAGACATAACGTTATTTCGGTAATTTTATAAAACAAATACGTAAAGTATCGCTAATATACCGATTTCCAAATATAAGGTCGTTTTTTGGTGATTTTATAAAAATAATAATATAAAAATGAAGCTTATAGACCAATTCGCAAGACATAGGGTTATTTCATTAATTTTATAAAACAAATACGTAAAGTATCGCTAATATATTGATTTCCAAATATAGGGTTGTTTTGGTAATTTTATAAAATAATAATATAAAAATGAAGCTTATAGACCATCCCCAAGACATAGGGTTATTTCGGTAATTTTGGTAATTTTATAAAGTAAATACATAAAGTATCGTTAATATATCGATTTTCAAATATAGAGTCATTTTGGTAATCTTATAAAATATTAATATAAAAATTAAGCTTATAGACCAATCCCCAAGACGTATGGTTATTTCGGAAATTTTATAAAGCAAAACGTAAAGTATCTATAATATACCGATTTCTAAATATAGGGTCGTTTTGGTAATTTTATAAAAATAATAATATAAAAATGAAGCTTACAGACCAATCCTTAAGACATAGGGTTATTTCGGTATATTTTAGAAGCAAATGCGTGAAATATTGCTAAAATACCGATTCCCTATTTATAGGGTTGTTTTGGTAACTAAATGAGATAAATAATCGACATTGGGTCAAGGTTCACATTTTACAAAATTCAAATAAAACTTGATGAAAGTTTCAAAAAAATCATATGGAGAAAATTATGTTTTTGAAACTCCAGGGGTTATAATGATATTTATTAAAACTTGTAAATGCATTATAATGGAATAAGAAGATTATGTCGTGTTAATAAAATACAAATAACCGGTTAGCTTGGTTGGTTAAGGTGTTGATGTTGTAGCTTGAGGTCATGGGTTCAATCTTGTCTTAGCACCATTGGTCCCTTTTTTTAATAGGTAAACGGACGCGGATCAAATTCTTGATCTGACCTGACCTGACCCGACCCAACCATGACCCGATTGCAACCTAAATAGGCAGCAGCCATGGTTGCGCGTATTGGAGCTTTTCAAACTCGAAAATGGCTCGTTTCTTAACGTTTTGTTTTCATTCTTATTGCACCAAACTCTTGTTAAAAATTTTACCAACATTTTGATATAAAGTACAAAAAATTTCGTCAAGAAACGAGTTCCAAGTTTTGATTTAAAGTTTTGTTATTAAACCTAAAACTCACCAACTTCATAACATAAAAATTGAACCATGTGAACACAAATTTGAGATATGAAGCTACTGAGATTTGATAGACTACTTAAAATCAAAGTCATAGACATAAAAATCAAGAGATTTAGTTAAGAATCTCACCAAAATCGGTGAAAAAACCGAGATTTTTGATTATGATATTCAAACTTAGATTTCTCTCTCAAAACTCAACGATTTTACTAGCTATTTGAATTAAAACGATCCTAAGTCAGTGCTCTACATTTATATGCAAGAGTTTTGACTTATTAGTTGGCGAAATCGAACCAAATCGCGAGTTTTTGGTTGTGGGGTCGTTTTCTCCAAACAGACATGTACTGTTGGCAAAACATGTCTCTCACCTTTGAAAAAGATGATATTTGGCCTCTGAACTTTCTGACATTTACAACCAAACCCTTCTTGATGTGATAATTTACATATTTGGTCCAAATCAAATTTAAACACTTAATACTTTAATTAAGTGACAAATTTGACCCCTCTCAACTCATTCACTTACATTTTTGGTCCAATAAATTAAAAAACCAAATTTATTTTATTTAAAAACCAATTTTATTTTATTTTCTTTTTGCCTTTCTTTTCATTATTTCTTATTTTAAGATTTCTATAATTAATTACGTAAATATTTTAACACTTCAAATAGGTTTAATAAAAATTATTTAAAGGTTCATATAATATTATTTATATATTTAAAATTTTGGGTTTGACAAAAACCTCGCGAAGAAAAAAATCAGATGTCCACATTTTCATGTCGACGACCTTTCCCACTAATCATTTTAAGACACATTATTTATTCATTTAATATACATTTAAATTATTTTAGACATGTATTCTTTTCGAACCTCCCCTCTCTTTATAAGGGCTTCTTTTAGAGAAATATTCAAAGAGGTTTCACATATCCTAACATGGTAGTAGAGTTGGGCTTGGCACAGCTGACACACTTCTTCGTTGTTGGGGGCACTGTTTAGCCTCCATTTTAGGGGGGCATGTTGAGTCTCATATCGATTAGACACAAACCATCAAATCTATAAAGAGAGAGAGAGAGAGAAAGAGATTCAAAGAGGTTCCATATATCTTAACATAGAAAAAGACAATACAACTAAAAATATTATTGTTTGTGGCAGATATTGAGCAATGGGAAGTACAAGAGTGTGTACCACAGAACAACAGTGAGTAAGGAGAAGACAAGGATGTCTTGGCCAGTGTTCTTGGAGCCACCACCAGAGTTTGAGGTTGGACCAATTCCAAAGCTCATCAATCAAGATAATCCACCAAAATACAAGACTAAGAAATACAAAGATTATCTTTATTGCAAGTTAAACAAGCTTCCACAGTGAATCATTCCAAGTAATATATGCATAAACCATATATATCTATAATATGTGTGTAAGAGACATAAATTTATGCTTGTAATATGAGAATGCGATGGATTTTAGTTTAAAGTAGTTTGAGTATACAATAAGCAGAGTGAGACATCTACCCCTTTCCTGTTTTAAACGCGTGGCTTACTCAAAACGAAAGGTAATATGGTCATTTTCATCCTTCAATTTCGATGTAAAGCAATCCAAGCTACATAGGACAAGTTTTCAAGGTATCAAATCAAATATGTTCACTTATTGGTATGTCTCTAAGTCGTTTTGGGTCTCTAAATAGCATCATATAACTAAGGATTCCACTTTACAAATATACAAATGTTTTACTAACGTTGCACCAAAAGGAAGTATCAAACTTGTAGCCTGAAAAAACTTTTGTGTCCCTGAGGGGACTAGAACTAGTGATCGATGGGGATCAAACCAAGTTCATGTAAAGCCCCTATTAGAGATTAGGGAGAATGATTTCCTTGATTGATTAAACAAAATACAATCATTTAAATATACAAAAGATGGGCCACGAGACAAACGTTATACAGGCTAATAAAAATACATTATAAAGATACAATGTGATCTGCTAACAACCCCAATTCTAAATGGGTACCTTTACTTTCTTTTGATACTTCTGAGTCTTGCATGTGAACTTAATTTAACTTTATTTATTTCATAGCTTACGATTACTTCAAACATTAGCGGAAAAGCTTATAATACAACAAATTTTGCTATTGATTAGAATAATACTACTCCATGCTATCCTCTTTACTCCTTCTATGAGATACATACATGAAATACGTATGCTAAAAACTGTGATGAGTAGTTATGATTTCATGAATAAACAATTTTCATGATACTTATTTATTTGCGAGTAATAATACTTCACTAAAACTCTTTATCATGCATAAAAACACTCTTTTGAGATCTCACTTGTAACATGTAAGTATGCCACACTTGCCTTGAGGTTTGCTAACTTGGGGTCCATAAAGACTGTTCTAGAAGATCCATTTGCAAGATTACACCCTCAAATTTGGAACGAAAGACTAATTTAAAATATCCAACATTACATCAATTAAAGGATTAACCTTGCCACAAATCGATACTTAATTACTTCAAATCATAAATGTAGATTTATCATCAATAAATGATAAACCAAGCCTTACAATAAAGTCTAGGTTAAGATACGTGTTTCTAAAACCCAATTACAGTCACTATCCCAAAATACGGAAGACGTCCCTGAAAAGCTAAATTCAACTCGTGTATCTAATAGCACTCAACTCTTCACGGTGTTGCTAATACCATTACCTAACGAGGACCTAATGTACATGTCGACAAATGAAAAGATTAGGCTTAACGTCTAGTGAGTTCAAGCAGTTTTCATCATAAATATAAAAGCGGTAAAACTGAAAGATGTTACTTAAATCACAATTTCCAAAATGAAATATATTTAGTATAAAAGCACATCATTTTGAAAGCCCACCATTTTTGTGATGAAAATTCATTTATCAAAACACTCATTTATCATGAAACCAATGCCCAATACTCACTCAAAACGTGAACGAGATTAAATGTTCAAATAATGAAAAAGAAGACAAAACTCTATTATCCAAAATACCTAAAACATGAATAAGTTCCAAGATACTAAAATAATAAATTCTCCATACTCAAAAAAACTCTGAAAACATGGAAGATACACTTATCCAAAAATAACACCTTTCGGGGGGAGACTTGTATCCATCGAATGTGGCGAACACAAAAGTAAGCCACATTTTGTGTTAGAGAGTTCCATTAAGGATCACACAGTCATCAGGTTCAACCACCCATTGTCTATAGTATGAGTCCTTGCTGATCCTAGTCATACCCATTCACTAGAAACAATAATCATTATTACCTGACGGTCATCAAGTGCAACCACTTACGGTCGACAACTTGAGTCCTCCGCTACGGTTAATGCGGTCATCAAGTTCAACCACCCATAATCTGTACCTCGAGTCCTCCGCTAAGGATCACACGGTCATCAAGTTCAATCATCCATGGTCTATACCTCAAGTTCTTCGTTGATCATAAATATTTCTAGCTACAAAATAGGGATAAAGTTCCCATTTAGAACCAATTGACCAAATCATATGTTTATGCATCCATGTCATTATAGTCTAAATTACATGACTCCAAATGACACTCAAAGCATGTAATTTTTTCAAATAAATATGTCACAACCACATATAACTCTAAAGGTTCAACATAGAGCAAAATAAACCGGACAAACGTCCTCAAGATTCATCTGAGTCAAAACCGAGCAAAAGTTCAACAACTCAATTGACTATAAAACAAATTCATCATAAGCAATAAAAACATATTTAATCAACGTTTATACAAACACACACTCTAAGGGCATGATTAACTCGAAAACCCATCATTGATTGGGACAAACCATTTTCCAACTGAAATCGTACCATTTATATTTTCAAAATGTTCCATAACATAATAATATGCATTATCACCAAATAAGCTGCATTTAGAAGATAAATGATCAAAAGAACTCACACTTATGGTTTTGTTTATCAAAATGTCCAAAAACCCCCAAATACGAGTATCTTACGAGATTTATATAGTCAAATATACCAAATATGCAAAAATCACCAAATAACCTACACATTTGATAATTATCAAGTAAAACACATTAATATTTCAAAATAGATACATGCCAAAGTTTTCATAAAGCAACTTGAACTCACCTTACTAGATTTATGCTATATCTAAATTCAAAACCAATCTCTAGCTTCAGTTGCTAAAGATTTTAGATCTCAAGCTAAACTTCCAAATCCATGAGCTAAATCTCTCAAGGACAATTCACCTACTCCCAAAATCAACAAATATTCCAAGAAAGAAAAGATGAAGGTTTGAGGGTGAAATGGGCCAAACCCTAGATCAAGGATGAAAATCTAGATCTTACCTTTCAACTTCTAGGAACCTCAAATATCCATGAATGCCTCCATAACTTCCAAGAAATCAGACCTAAAGTCCCACAATAACTCAAGGTAGAGAAAAAATGGAAAGGAGGAAGATTGGGTGGGAAGAAATGAGGAGAAATCCCAAAATCGGACCCTTTATGCCCTGCAGGTCATTCCCCGACCTTGCGGCCCAAGTTGTGCAACAAGTCGTGCATGTTACTTGGACCATGCCCACTCAGAGAGTTGCATAGACTACGTTGCGACCCTATGTCACGTGCTAGGTCACGTATGTTATTTTTTTTTGCCCCCATTGTCCGATTTTTGTGCTCGATTCAATCCTCGAAGGTTCCATTATGATAAATATATAAAACCACGATATATTTTCCATTTATAAGTGCCAAGCGGCATCCGATCAATAAAATTGAGAACCCTTGAAAATTACGGGTGTTACAATCCTCCAACCTTAAAAGAGATTTCTTCCTTGAAATATAGCACTAGTCAAACAGTCGACCACATTAGCTCACCCTAAATTCCTTGTCCCACAGATAGTCTCGGTTCCATTAAACCATAACCAAGCTTTGACAAGTGAGCTCTTTCGTATGATGATATTATCTGCCCCATCCTCCTTATGTAAGACGTTCATACCAAAAAACGCAAACGAGATGGTTCAAGAATGCTACATAACCCGAGGTACGAGTCTGACAGATATCTCGCCATTCACGTAGCCCGTAGACAATAACAATATGATAATGCAAACCTCAAATAATGACAGTGTAACAAAACAACCGACTCCCTTTCCAAAAGATTGTTTCGACATTACTTGACCGTAATAAGGATTTAACTACCTTAAATTCAAAATTGTCACGCCAATCCTCATAATGGACCATCATTATTCCAATCTCAACATTTGATACTTCACAAGTGATGGCCAAACCGGCCCAGCCCGGCCCGGGACCGCCGGAGGACCGGGACCGACCCGGCCCGGGACCAGTAAGGACCGGTTATAGGATCGAAATCTGGGACCGATTATGGATTTGGGATATTTCGCGGGACCTGGACCGGTTATGGACCGGCCCGGCCCGATTTTTCAAAAAATGTAGTTATTTTATAAAAAAAAAATGTAGCCATTATTTAAAAAAAAAAAACCTAGCCCTTTTTTTGTATTTTTTGCTTTATAAATATAAGGAGTCATTTGGTTCACGGAATTTGAAGTAATTTGATGGAATTGGAACGACAAATTCCATTGACCAAATTACAATTCATTCGTTTGGTTCATTTCTTGAAATGGATGGAATCTTTCAAATTCCATTGAATTCCACAAATTAATAAATTCATCATTGTTTGGCATAATGGAAGGAATTGAATTCCATCACCACCCACCACGACCACGCTACTATTGTTCGTCATGTCCCACTCCTAACCCCCCACCACCACACCACTATTGTCGCCGCCACCCACCCTACCCCACCACTAACCATCATGCCACTACTGTTGTGATCACATCACACCTACCCATCTCCCAGTCACTTACTGCACATCCCTACTACGACCATGTTACTATTGTTACTGTCACACCCCTAACCTAACCCCCTCCACCACACCGTTATTGTCGCTATCACAACTGCCACTCACCTCACCCCACCCTAAACCAACCCACCACTAACCACCATGCCACTACTGTCGTCGTCATACCCACCCACTCTCAGCAACCTGACCACCATCCCACAACTGTCGTCGTCATAACTGTCACCTATCCCCACCATCCCGCCACGTCGCCCCTAACTTAACCCCCACACCATTATGGTCGCCTTCACAATCGCCACTCACTCGCTCCCGCCCCACCTTACCCTACTCCAACCCACCACTAACCACCATCTTACCATTGTAGTCGCCACAACTACCAACCTTCCACCCACTGCCGTACTCTGGCCCCACCCCCACCGCCTTACCCCACCCTGCCTGCCCCCAAAAAACCCCACCTATGAAGCAGGGGTGGGGCAGGAATGGTGGGGACGGGGTTGGACTGGTAGGGTAGGGTTTCAGTAGGGGTTGGGTGGGATGATAGCTGTGACAACGACAATAGTGACATAGTGGTTGGTAGGATGTGGGCGGGGCAATGGGTGAGATAGTCCAAACAAAGACAATTATTCTAATTCTATTGGGAAATTTCATTC